TAATAACAAATGTCCACGCGGTTTTAAAGTCATTATTATATAAATAATCAGGAAGTTTTTACTCTGAATTTGGAACCTAATCGTGATGTTATTAAAAGCTTTCTTTTTTTTATTTGATTAATATATTTCATAAGTTGGGAAGTTTTTTCCAACCTGTAAACTCTGGAATTCTCTGTGGGATTTTCTTTTCGTTTTTCCTTTCAGTGTTGAGAGTTATATCTGCAGTGCGAATAGGACACAGCTAATAAAAATAAATATTGATGAACTTTCATATATATCTTTGTATTACTTGTCTTATAAATATTAATGGCAACTCACCCTCTTTTTTTATGGAGATGACGTCATTACGTATCAGCACGTGATTGGTGGGATTAACTATCTCGTTCTGCGCATGTGCAGGATTAAAATTTGAGCTCGTGTACATCCTAGTCCGGAGATGAATTAAAAGTTAATCCTGGACGCTGCCATTGCACATTAGAGATCTGGATTAAACTTGAATACTGGATCAACATTTATGACGCATACAGAAGACGCCCTCAGACACCGCTCCCCCCATGATCTCTAAACACACTTCAACGTTTGTATATACTGATAACAAAGTACTTTTCAGTCCTACTAAATATCACAAGTAAAATTTTCTCCCTAAATCTAGTACAAATGATTATAAGGTAGGATTTAGGGACAATCCCATCCAATGTAGGAATCTCATAATTACTGAAAATACAATATGGTTGACAGAACGTTGTTGACATGAGAGACACCAACATTGCAAGAGAAAAATGAAAGTATGAGGAGAAGGATGAGGATGAGGTGGAAGAGGAGTTATTGGAGGAGGAGGAGGAGGAGGAGGAGGAGGAGGAGGAGGAGGAAGAGGAGGAGGAGGAGGACGAGGAGGAGGAGGAGGAGGAGGACGAGGAGGAGGAGTGGGAGGAGGAGGAGGAGGAGGAGGGGGAAGAGGAGGAGGAGGATAAGGACGAGGAAGAAGAAGAGGAGGAGGAGGAAGAGGAGGAGGAGTGGGAGGAGGAGGAGGAGGAGGAGGAGGAAGAGGAGGAGGAAGATAAGGACGAGGAAGAAGAAGAGGAGGAGGAGGAGGAGGAGGAGGAGTGGGAGGAGGAGGAGGAGGAGGAGGAAGAGGAGGAGGAGGATAAGGACGAGGAAGAAGAAGAGGAGGAGGAGGAGGAGGTGGCGGAGGAAGGGGGGGGTGAAGAAGAGAATGAGGAGGAGGAGGTGCAGGAGGAAGAGAGGGAGATGGAGAAAATGAGGGAGAAGGAGGTGGAGGAGGAAGAAGAGAACGAGGAGGATGAGGAGGAGGAGAAGAAGGAGGAAGAAGAAGAACAAGAGGTAGCTGAAAGAGGAGGAGAAGGAGGGAGAAAAAAAGGAAGTGGAAGAGAAGGAGGAGGAGTAAGAGGATGAGGAGGATGAGGATGAGGAAAAGGAGGAAGAGGAAAAAGAGGAAGAGGAGGAGGAGGAGGAGGAGGAAGAAGAAGAGGAGGAGGAGGAGGAAGAGGAGGAAGAGTAAAGGAAGAATAAGAGCAAGAGTAAGAGGAGGATGAGGAGGATGAGGATGAGGATGAGGAGGAAGAAGAAGAAGAAGAAGAAGAGAGCGAGGAGAAGGAGGAAGAGGAGGTGGAAGAGGAAGAGAAGAAGGAAATGGAGGAGAAAATGAAGGACAAGGAGGTGGCGGAGAAGTCGAAGGAGAGAGGAGAAGGAGGAGAAGGAGGAGAAGGAGGAGAAGAGAAGTAGAAGGGGAAGTAGGAGAATCAGATTTAGAATTAGAATTAGAAGAAGCGATAGCGAGGGACAAAGGGACGAGACATTTACTGCCGTCCTTTCTGCTCCTTTTTCTTCTTTTCCTCTTCCTCATCCCTTTTCTTCTTATTATTTTTTATATCTCCCTCATACACATTATTCTATTATTGTTAGGATTTGTTTATAGCATAAACTACTATCATTATTCATCCTGTTACTGTTGTTATTGTAAATCTTACTTTTGTGACCGGAGAAATTCAATATTATCTAAGTCTCCCCTTAAATAATTGGAAGAAAACGTGTATACAAGAAAAATGGTCGATATTTAGAGCGGAAACTCCTCTAATTTATTGGATATTATTTAGATTGAATAGCGTAACTGAACTTGGCATAAACGAGCAAATAATCCTCAAAATAAAGATAGAAGACGAATGAAAAGAAAGAAAATCAAATTATGGATAAATGGGTCCTTCCTTTAGCTGTGATATGTATTTTTCGTATTAGCAAAAATCTTGTAATAAATAAACAGTACATGTAATGTAGTTTTTCCTTACCTGCAGTTGCTTAGATTTTTTCTCCATGTCAGTGTGGTCGTTTTGTTTACTTTTATCCTTTGTTTTTATTATAGATATACGCAATTTTAAACAACAATAGATATATAAGAGAACTCTCGAAAATACATTTTGGATACGAAACAGAAAACGGAATCTTGGCATAGAAAATGGCAATGGGACCCTCTTTCTTCTGTTTT